GAAATATGCCAGACTCAAAAGGCAAACAGTGTATTTTCTCTCATATGAGTGTGTGTGTGTGTGTGTGTGTGTGTGTGTGTGTGTGTAAGCATGCACACGCATGTGAAATGAAACTACAAAAGGAACCATGGCAGGGAAGAAATACTGAGTAAGGGACAGGGAAGGGAGTTGGGGAAGAGGGTAGGATTTGTGTAAAGGTTGGCAGTGTGGGGAGAAATGAAAACAGAGTACATGTATATGAAAATACCATCTAAACTCATTACATTAACATGTAAAAATAACTTTCAAATTTCTTAGAAGAAAACACAGGGATAATTCTTTGAGATTCTGGATTTTGTAATGGATTTTTTTTCTTTTTTTTGGGGGGGTGGGTTTTGAGACAGGGTTTCTTTGTGAAGTTTCGGTGCCTGTCCTGGATCTCACTCTGTAGACCAGGCTGAACTCGAAATTGTGATAAAAACGCTGTAACACGAAGATGTAATGGAAGCCAGAGATAAAGGGACAAATACTGAGTGGTCCCACTTATATGACATATCTAGAGAAAGTAGACTCTTAGGGATGGACAGTAACTTAGAGAGCACTCGTGGCAGTAGGGTTGAATGTATATTCCGGGACTTAAGTGATCTAAAATGCCTGTGAAAATAGAACTTGGACATTATACTAAAAGCCAGTGAGTTGTACACTTTAGAGGATTGGCTTTTTATATATATAGTGTATTATATCTCAACAGAGCAATCAAAAGACAAGAAGAAAGTCATGGGTTTAGGTACCCTGCTTTAGAAAGGGTTTCGTCCATATATTTTTCACTCCAAGGAGATATTGCTGTCATGAAGTGGTGGCTTTACCTTGTTTACACAGCCAGTTCATCAGATATAACTTGTTAACTAGTTTTTCTTCTCTAGTTGATTAGGCTTGAGAAAGGGAGAGAAAGAAAGGGCTCAAGACAGAGAGACACCAAGTAGGACCTTCCTTTAGGCAGATGTAATGCCACAGCAGGTGATTCAGTCCAAGTCTGAAGCAAGAAACTTCAGTCTCACCAGGCAAAGCAAAACATCTACTCTTAAAGGTTTCCGAGGGTAAGGAGGTCTTGCACTAGCAAGCAGGCTTAGTGGATACATGACCCATGCTACACATCGAAGCAGAAGAGCCGAGTGTATATGACAGGGATCACTCGGTCTCTGCATAGGGAAGTGGGACTTGGTTGACTTGTTATCCAATCAATGTGACAGTAGTCATGCTGTGTAGATGTAACCAACCGTCTTATCAAATAAGAAACACAGAGCCGATTCAGAGAAGAAAGCCAAGAGGTCAGAGCTAAGAGCCTCACCCTTCCTGCTTCAGCGATCCTCTTCAGCCAAGAGAGCTCTCAGAAAAGAACCTACTTCCTGTGTGTATGTCTTTATATACTCTAGCTGTTCTGCCTTCTCATTGGTTGTAAACCCAAACATGTGACTGCCTCGTCACTGCCTGTATGTACCGCCCTCCAGGTCCTTAAAGGCGTGCGCCACCGCCGCCACGCACTTGCTATGGCTCTAATAGCTCTGACCCCCAGGCAACTTTATTTATTAACATACAATTAAAATCACATTTCAGTACAAGTAAAATACCACCACAATGCTGCCTTCATCCCTACTGATGCCCCCTCAGCAAGGGGGTTGAGTGTGTTTCTCCCCTGCCTAGAGTCTGAATTTCCTCCCCCCCCGCCCCATCTAGCTAACTAGCTACACACACACACACACACACACACACACGAAGCAGAGGGATGTTTTTATAGAAAGGAGGTGGGTGGAAGCTATGGATGGATTAATGAAATCTGCTTAGCTACTTGTGGCTGATTGGGGTGTTTGGGGGTTAGGTCTTCAGTTTTGTAGTGGGTAGTCAGTAGGTGCTCTTTGGGTTGGAGGCTTGTATCTGAATTTACATATCAGAAAGACAAGGTTCTCCTCATTGTAAGACCTTTTGGAGTTGGATTTGTTGAATTCTGGAAGAGATGAGCATAATATAAGTTTATTGAGAAGAGTGGGAACCATAATAAGTAGATTCAAAGACAGACCCATCACCATGAAGAAGGAGTGCTAACACTCAGGGTCTTGACTGGATCAACTTCCTCAAGGATATCTGGAAGAGCCAAATCACATATAGAACAGGTTAGAGGAGGTTGCAGGGGAAGGCATGTGAGGGTAAAGACAGTTATTAAGAGGGTTGTCATGGATGTCCCCAAGGTTAACCTCAGTTCATCAAGCATCCCAGCAAAGCAGGCCTGAAGGTGGCAAGGTGATGAGAAAGCAGGCCTGAAGTGCAGGCCTCAAGCATTTGCCATGGTGCTCTTTCAGGCCCCTGGCTGCTGATAAAATTAGCCAGGGCACGGATCTACAGGCCTGCAATATCGGTGCCCATTTTGAGGTCTGGTGAGTCAGAGTATATGAACAGGAGAAAAAGAAACAAGCTTCTCTGTGATCTTCAGTTTCCCTTTCAGAACTGTGGTCAGAGCCACGAGTCTGAAACCAAACTCTGGGCTTCCCAGAAATTGGTGGGTCTGGGAAAAAGAACAGACCGAAGCCAGGGATCTCATGATCTAGTACTAGGATTTTCACAACAGATGGACGGAAGTGGACAGGAAGTCTGGAGAGTCCAGATTTACCCATTTGAAGACAAAACTCCAACGCTGGAGAAAGATGACAGCCCCGGTGATGAAAAGTGGGCAGGAGCCCTAGGTGGTTGGAGGAGGTGGCAAAAAAGCCCTGGTCTGGGCAGCCCACATTCACACACCACCACAACCACCACCACCATCATCACTATAACTGAATTGCTTTGGGTTCCATCTGTTCTGGTGTGGAATGAAGCCAGTAAATTTTCTTGATTCTACCTACCTCATAAAGGTTTCTGGGATCCATCCACTCTTCGTCCCAACACCCAGTGCCTTAGTTTGGGTCATCATATCTCACTTGGATATTTTCGATAACCTTCTAACATGTCTGTATCTTCAGTTCTAATATATCAACTGATCACCATAGGTTTTTAAAGTTCTCAAAAAAAAAAAAAAGCATCGGGGTTAAGGGGTGTTGGATGTTATAGAGATATTAGCATTACATTTAGATAATAATTGCATTCTCTACAGACATGTGTATGTGTATACATGTATAAACACATATACTTGTAAGAGATAATTACAAAGAACTGACTCATATAATTCTGGAGGTCAGCAGCCTTAAGTCTACAGAGCTGATATATCAGTTCAAGTCTGCAGGCTGATAGGGTGGCCTTCTGTTTGGATGAGGTTCACCACCTTACCTTGAATATGATTTGCTTAATCTTTAAAAACTTACCTCAGCCTGGTACACTCCTGTCATATAAGCACTTAGGATACATGAGACCCTATTTTAAGAAACAAAAACAATTTCAGGGGCTTGAGGGAGTAACATACACAAGTCCCTAAGTTTGATCCCTGCTTCACACATGTATACACACACATGAATACTCACAAAAAGGGGAGGGGCGACCCTTAAACCTTATCCATACTCTCACTGAAAAAACCCAGGATGTTGAACTGGGCATTACTACACATGAGGAGAGGACAAGGGCAGACCTGAACTCTACCGTCTCTGGAAGCCTCTGGGCAACAAGGTATAGTACAAACAAGCATTAATAATCTCATCTCATAGGATATCGAGGCTTTTAAGATTTCTGAGTAAGAGTGTTCACCTTGCATGTGTGTATGTGGACCACATTCATTGCCAGTGCCCAATGAGGCCAGAAGAGGGTGTTAGGTCACCTGGAACCAGAGCCACCATGAGGGTGCTAGGAACTAAATCTGCATCCTCTGTAAGAGCAGCAAGTATTCTTAACCACTGAGCCATCTCTCCTGTCCTGGGAAATTGTTTTAATCTCAGCTTCTACTTCCTGCTCTGTGAACAGATATCACTTTCCTTGGAGCTGATGCGTTTCTAGAAAATAATGTTCCAAAATTCTAACACAGTGCCTGATACATGGCTCACTTCCCATCAATGAGAATACTAAAACTTCCTCTGAAGTGTGTAATGAGCTACTCGCCAAGTCAAAAAGTATCTTAGGTCTTTAAGAAAATGATTCTCCTCAAGCTTCCTCACAAAATAAAGCCAAAAAAATACAAGGAAGGGGATAATTTTTAACCCCAGCACTTGGGAAGTAGAGGCAAGGTAGGAATTCAAGGTCACTTTTGGCTATTATTTTAAGACCTTGTCTCAAAAAACAAAATACCTGTAAGTATGATATCTTAGTTAGGGTTTATATTGCTGTAATGTAACACCATGACTAAAAAGCAAGCTTAGGAGGTAAGTGTTTATTTGGTTTACACTTCCATATCACTGTTCATCATCGAAGGAAGTCAGGACAGGAACTCAAACAGACAGAAACCTGATGCAGATGCCATGGAGGGGTGCTGCTCACTGGCTTGCTCAGCCTGCTCTCTTACAGAACCCAGGACCACCAGCCCAGGGATGACACCACCCACAGTGTGCTAGGTCCTCCCCTCATCAATTGCTAATTCAGAAAATGCCTTACAACTGGATCTTACAGAGGCATTTTCTCAATGGAGGTTCCCTCCTTTCAGGTTGACATAAGACTAGCCAGAATATGAAAAATATAAAAACATACATTGAGGGTCTAAGGAGTGCTTACTTAGCACACACAAGGCCCTGGGCTCAGTCCTCAGCATGATTTGGGGTAGCAGGGAATACAAATGCACCATTATTTAAAACCATATAATCACAAATTAACAAACAAATGACCACTTCTACGGCAGTGGCTATGGAGAGAAACAAGGGGATGGGGTAAGAGGTAGCAAAGCAAAGTTCCAGGGAGTCTAACATTTGAGGGGGGACCGCTAACTGAAAAAGATAAAAAATAATAAAATGTAAACATTAACTCTGCATAGTAGGAATACACGGGAATTATTTAAATGATTCACCTTTTCTGTATGGTTGATCTCATACAGTCTTAAATAATGACCAAAGAAACAGGAATTGACTGGTAATACATTTATTTTTATACATTTTTAAATTGCAATTTTCAGAATATATACGTATTTCTCTCATTTGGGAATAAGCATCTCTTTGGTACATAAATCACATCATACTTGTGTGATCTTAAAAAAATCTTTAACTATGACTATGTCAAAACTAGTCTTTGCCCATCCGTTTGTCCCCTATCACAGCTCCACTGTGAGACTTCACAGAGTTCTGTTCACATCAACATATCTACACAGACATCACATCAAAGATACTTAAAGGTCGAGTGTATCAAGGTAGTACATGGCTTGACAATAGATGGCACAAATTACATAAAATACAGTACAGGTCAACTAGAACTCTAACAATAAGGTCAACTGATAGGAAACCCATTGAAACAGTTAAATGTGACACACTGGAAACTAACTTTAGAGTAATGTAAATAACTGCAAAGCTCCAATACTAGCATACAGCCATAAATTTGGTAAGGCATTTCAAAGATAGCAATCAGACATATAGAACACTACCAATAAGAGGTACTAACTATGGAAGCAGCTTACTATAAAAATAAATAGACAAAAGTAAATATTTTATACAAGTTTTCATTCTGTGAAGTAAAAGCTTTTTAAAAATGGGATCACAGAACAGAAAAAATATTTTTTAAAAGTCATCATCAAAATTCAAAACCCTGTACTGGGTATGGTGTTGCACACCAGTAGTCAGTCCTGCCATCGAAGAGGCTAAGACGGAAACCTGGGATTCACAGCGAGACTTTCTCAAGACAGAAAAAAAACCAAATTCCCATAAAAAATAGAATATTTTTTTTCCTTCAAGTCAATGAAGTTTAGATTCATACAGTTTTCTTAGAGAAACAATTAGTCTTCATCCTAGAAAACAGGAAGCAAAGGTAGCTTCTCATTACGCTCATCAAGTCTTATCCACAGGCACTGAGCCTTGTGTGATACGGCTTCGGGGACTGAGCTAAGAAGTAAATAGAGCGCCATCACTGGTTTCAAAGTAGGTGTCCTGTGGAGTTGGATCCACCACCTGAAGTCTCCATCAAGGGCCTTAAGGGGATGAACCAAGCTCAACTCCAAACTCAGCACTTCTGGCATCTTCTTGAACAACAAATAATGATCTGGTTGCACTAAGGCACTGCTATAATCAATTATTGACTGATGGAATTAGCTTTCATAAAGGAGTCTACAAAAGTTTAGAGAGCAGAAAGTACTCAAGGTAAACACTGTGGTAACAGAGCAATTAAACAAACAAAAACCCTTCAGTATTCTGCTTTCTCAAAAGTCAAGAATACCAGAAAAATTTCATTCTCAGTATAAATGTCTGGAGACAGGCAGCCCCATAAACGCGGCCCATGTGCAAATATCTCACGTGTGAGTCATTAACCGACCACATCTGCAAGTCAGTTGTCGGGTTTCAAGGAATCATAGCCTTCTTTCAGGAGGTCCCGCCACGTTTTCAGGAACCGTGCATTTTCCGTACACTTCAGGGCAAGTTCTTCCACCTGAGCTGATACAGCAGATGTGGCTTCAAGAAGTTTAGTTAATGAAAATGCCGCCTGCAATTTAAAGAAGGAACAGTCAAAGGGTTGTGGTACTTAGGGAAGAACCCAGGGCTCCACCACTGAGCTACACCCCGAACCCCACATAGGCTTATTTTTTAAATTCTCATCTAACTTCATAGTCTAAAACTAGCTTAAAACCTCCAATCAAATGACCACTTATTTTTCTAAAAAACAAAAACGAATTTTCAAATGCAAATACTGCTTCTTTCTTGGACCCAAAGCCTCAGAGCACAGTAGGCACACAGCTCTACCCCTGAGCTACGTTCACAGCCTCTTTTTTTTTTTAATTATGTAACTTGAGGAAACATATCTGCCACAAAAATACTCGTTACGCATGACACATGACAAGTCGTTATTTTTAACGGAAAACACACCCAACTCTCATGCACTTCACCAAGGCAACCTGGAAAGCCCTTGACTAAAAGCGACAGAACCATCTAAAGGACTTCCTCATAAACCACTCTTGATGATAACAAGAGTAACAAAAGCACTGTTCGCTATTTTTACCTGTGAACACTTTTTTTTTTGGACTACAAAAAAAAATTATGTGAAATCCAAAGAACTGATACTCTGAACTGACAGAACATCTAAAATCAGTCTCTCTCTCTCTCTCTCTCTCTCTCTCTCTCTCTCTCTCTCTCTCTCTCTCTCTCTCTCTCTCTCTCTCTCTCACACACACACACACACACACACACACACACACACACACACACACACACACACAGAGCTATGAAAAACTCACTTTTAAATCAAATGTTTTTTCCACCAAAGATATGAAACAGCACTTTTTTGGGTATGACATCGGTACTTAGTCTACACATTTATTTGTAACCAGTATTGTTTTGGAAAAAAATAAAAATAAACCCTGGACCAGCACTTCAGTCATCTCTTTAAAAAAAAAAAAAAAAAAAAAAAAAAAAAAAAAAAAAAACCTGCAAACAAACAAAAACCGTGTCGCTCAGTTCCCGGTTTCCAATCTTCACAGGGCTGGCATTCCACGGTGCTCTCCCAGGAAGGTGACCCGCTACATACTTCACTCTGCTCTTTCTCTCAAGAGTCCCTAGAAAGTGAAAACTGACACCCTCCAACCCCCTCAGTGGTACGTGTGCTGAGGTCAGATGGTGATTTCTGGGAATTCGAGCTTGAACAAAAAGTTGGCAAAATTTTTGCATTGCAGGAATCAGTGAAGCGTCCTGTCTAATCCATCAGTGAAACCAATGATCTCCGCGGCCGGCTAGGTTTAGCCCGGGTCTACTCAAGTCCAACAGAGAACAAGTCCGCGACACACAATGGCATCACCAGCTGGCCCTGGGCTGGTGGCCAACGAGAAGAGCAAGCTCAAGTCCCTCGGAAAGTACCAATGGGCAGGAGGCTCTGGCCCAAAGTACTCTGAGAGATGCGAGTAGGCGGAGAGCGGATCCCGGTTGCGGTGCTGCGGGTGATCGCAGCAAGGGGCGAAGCGGGGAAAGGTGCGGGCAGAGAGAGCAGAGGCTAGCCCTCCACTCCCTGGCCCAGCATCGCAGGCCGGAGCACCCTAGTTGCAAGCAGCGACCCGGACCCGGGGACACTCACGTCTCCGATCTGCAGCTCCACTTGCTCCAGGGGGTCCACCGTTGGGTCGTGGCTTCGGCTCGGACTCCGCCAGCCCAAACTCACTGGCATGCTGAGGGACGATGAAGAGGCGCCCGAAGACGGAGACGAGGGAGGCGGCGGCGGCGGCGAAGCCCGAAACTCCTCAGGGTCAGCCATGGGGCTGGGCCGGGGGACGCCAGACAGACCAAGCAACCGAACGCACACACCAACTGCCTTTCAACAGCTCGCGCCCAAAGCCCACAGGCTCCGCCTCCTCCCACACGGGGTCCCGCCCCATCTTCTCGTAGGTCTCCGCCCCGGACCGCAAGGACTTTTCATTTTTCCAGACAGCCAATCAGATGTCAGTCAAGCCAGTCGTCACCCCGTTCCTGCGCACATCTCGGGTGGGCACGGAGCACGCTGGAGCTGGACACTACAACTCCCAGAATGCCGAACGAGTCGTCCCGGCTCTGCTCTCAATGCGCATGCGCCTAGCGGGGGCGGGGCTTGGGGAGGCCTCTTCCGCACACTCGGTTCCTGGATGAGGAGGATGGCTGGGAAATGGAGTCTTCTGCCTTTCTCTTGCTGGTACGTGACTCAGAAGCCTTATTGGCCGTCGCCTCCTCTGTGGCGCCGGCGCAAAGCAGAAGAGGGGCGGGCACGCCGCGAAGCAAGGGCGGTCGACACAGCCTAGAAGGCTGACTTCAAAGGGGCAATCGGGGCTTCTTGGCAGGCGATGGCGCCCCCCGTGGCCTAGAAGTTCAACGCTCTCGGCAAGCCATAGACAGGCCTTTCTCCGCTGTGTCTTTGTCAAGTCTCCCGGCTACTCTTTGAACATGTTGGTGCGGCTAGCCAAGCTGTCCTGCCCTGGTGAGAAAGAACTCCCGGTGGGGACAGATGGAGCAAGGTGGCTAAGTTGGGGCACAGTAGACTGGGCCACACCTGGGGTAACTGCAGGCACCTCTCTCCTTATCTGTTTTCTTAGGCTAAACTAGGGCACGGGTCAGTGCTGCCAGCGCCTGTTGGTGGACCCTGGCTTCCCCGTCCTTGAAGTTGCCCCACTTGGCGGAATTAACATCTAGGTGAAAGGTCATGAGCGGAGGAAAATTGTCAACACTGCCCCCTCGATGGAGTCTTCCCAAATCCCGATCCTAATCTTTATCCCAAGGCTCAGGTATTATCTGCTGCCTTATCAGGATTGGGACGGAAAGAAAAACTTGTGTGGGATTTCTCCTTGGCTCTGACCTGGCTTTCATCTTCGTAGCCATTCTAGTTCATGAAGTCTGAGTTGTCATAACGTGTTAAGTCATGTGCTGCCCGGGTCACCAATTATGTCTGAAGCCGCAAATTTTTCTGCATTATTCTTAGTTAAATCCAGACGCTTCTGTGAGGGGTGCTTCTTCAAGCAGCTGGATGATATTTTTAAATTTTTACTTGAAAACAACCCCTAATTCAAACAGAAGTTTAGAGGATCTTGAATTCTGTTGTAACTGGCTTAATATAAATCTTTACTGAATTAAGATTTGGCTGTGGAATTTTTTTTTTTTTTTTTGGTTTTTCGAGACAGGGTTTCTCTGTATAGCTTTGCGCCTTTCCTGGGACTCACTTGGTAGCCCAGGCTGGCCTCGAACTCACAGAGATCCGCCTGGCTCTGCCTCCCGAGTGCTGGGATTAAAGGCGTGCGCCACCACCGCCCGGCTGGCTGTGGAATTTTTAAACAAGTATACATGTTGTAAATCCAAACCAAGCATCTATTACACACAGGATATGTTCTGTTTGGGGGACCATCAATGTATCAGATGCTGTCTTCTTTACAGCCTAATTCAGATGCAATCTGTCTTGAGTCCGGTCGGTGACTTTTCTTTGGATGCTAATTTGTTACATTGTCATAATTCAGTGTTAGCACTAGTGACGACAACAAAGTGGACATGAGTGTGTAATGTGTATGGCTAATCGTTGTTCAGTGGACTCTTGTGACTTTGCTTCTCTACCATAACTCATTCTCTCTGCCTAAATGTTCAGATGCCTCATGAGAGACACCAGGCTTGTTTTAGCAAAGGAGTAAAGGTTATGCCTTTTTTAAATTCCCTGGTGGAAATCAGAGGTCACGGTTCAAACTGTTCTCAAGCAAATTAGTAGCTGTACAAACAATAGAATAAAAGTTTGTCATATTCCACTCATTAGTTTTCAGAAGCAAATGATAACTTGTGTATGCTAAACTACAGTGTATAATAGTCTTTGTAAATGATGACAGTATGTTTGAGCTCAAACTGAATTTGTATTTAATATTTATAGGTATCTTTTTCAAGATTTAGAATAAGTAAAGACTTAATCTTGTTCTTAATAAAGTATTCCCAATATAATTTTTTATGCTTTTTATTTATTTATTTTGGTTTTTCGAGACAGCTTTTCTCTGTGTAGCCCTGACTGCCTGCAACTGTCTCTGTAGATGGGACTGGCCTCAAACTAACAGAGATCAACCTGCCTCTGCTTCCCAAGTGCTAGGATTTAAGGCATGTGCCACCACCACCCAGCAATATTGTAATTTTTAGTGTGCATTACAAGTAAAGAAAATTTGTTTCCCTACCACTTTGAAATTGTCAAAAGCAAATGTATAGTACTTACAAGGTACTAGACTTCTACTCCAAATGCTTTTTCCCACTTCATCATAACATTTATTGTCTTGATGCCAGGTATTACTTTAAAAACTATTTTGTTAAAAAAAAATATTAACCATGCAATTGGTGCTATAAAATAAAATTAGTTTATATCAGGTTGACTTTGTTTAAACATGCCTTCTGTTTAATTAAAAGAAAAGAAAAATTTACCATAGCCTCAGTTTCCATGACTTCAGAGATAATTTCAAATCAATTACTAGTCTCAGAGTTTGACAGGTATTAGAAGGGATTATGTGAATTTCTGTTTGTCTGCTGTAAATAGTGATTGTAGCTACTTACATATCTCAGAAAGTTATGAGGGATAAGATATGATAGCTTTGTTTTGTTTGGAATGGGTTCTCCTGTATCACAGGTTGGTTATGATCTCATTATGTAGCCGAGGATGATTTTGAATTGCTGATCCTCCCAGTGTGCATCACCACCCTGGGCTTATGTGGTACTGGGGATTCAACTAGGCAAGCACTGTATCAACTGAGCCACATTCCCAAATCCCCAACCAAGACATAGCATTAAAATGGAAAGTTCTTTTTTTTTTTTTTTTTTTTTTTTTGGTTTTTCGAGACAGGGTTTCTCTGTGTAGCTTTGCGCCTTTCCTGGGACTCACTTGGTAGCCCAGGCTGGCCTCGAACTCACAGAGATCCGCCTGGCTCTGCCTCCCGAGTGCTGGGATTAAAGGCGTGTGCCACCACTGCCCGGCAAAATGGAAAGTTCTTAACTATTCATTGTGTCCTAGAAAGTATAAACTATATAGTCAAAATGAAATTCTTTGTCTTTGCTATTTACTTTTTACAGTCCATATGTAAAGGTTTCTTCATTTGCTTATGCTTCATAAGACACAGTTCAAGTTAGAAAAGGCCATAATTTGCTGGATGTTGGTGGTGCACGCCTTTAATCCCAGCACTCGGGAGGCAGAGGCAGGTGGATCTCTGTGAATTCGAGGCCAGCCTGGGCTACAGAGTGAGTTCCAGAAAAGGCTCCAAAGCTACACAGAGAAACCCTGTCTCAAAAAAACCAAAAAGAAAAGAAAAGAAAAGAAAAGGCCAGAATGTAGCTGGAGTTATCTCCAGTCCTGCCCGGGCCTGCAGCTGCTCATAACCAAATAAACACATGAAGACTTACATTACTTATAAACTGTATGGCCATGGCAGGCTTCTTGTTATCTAGTTCTTATATCTTAAATTAACCCATTTTTATTGATCTATAAGTTGCCACATGGCTTGTGGCTTACCGGTACTTTTACATCTCATTTCCTCTGTGTCTGGCTGACAACTCAGCCTTCCTGTTCCCAGCATTCTCCTCTCTGTTTATCCCACCTATACTACACTTCCTGCCTGGCTACTGGCCAATCAGCATTTTATTTATCAATCAATCAGAGCAACACATTCACAGCATACAGAAAGACATCCCCAGCACTTCCCCTTTTCTTTTTTTCAAAAAGAAAGGTTTTAACTTTAACATAGTAAAATTACATATAACAAAATAATAATCAGGCAAGAATTACAGTTACAATATCTAGTCTGTTTATAATATCTAGTCTATTTGTATTTGGCAAAATTAGAAAAGATATCCTATCTATCCTATATTTGTGAGTCTAAGGTTTCATATCTAACTTATCTTTTATCATAACTAAGGAAATTATAACTATCTAGTCGTCAACTACATCAAAGACCTCAGAAGGATATAATATTACCTGAGAAATGGGAGAAGGAAACAAGCAACTTTTGGGAGTCTTGCGACAGTAGACAGAGATAGCTGGCAGCCTGGACAGTCATCCAAAGTTCCTCTGTAAAGTTGGGGCATCTCTCTTCAACCCACAGGCCTAGAGTCTCTCAGTCACTTCTCTCTATGTCCTGTAGAATGTCTGGCAGTTTCCTCTGAGAAGCAGGAACCTGAAGGACTATTTCACCTTGAAAAGTTCAGTGGTCACCTTCCTATGGGTCCTGTATGTTCAGTCGATCAAGCAGTCCAGGCAAGAACAGTTTCTTGCCCATGGCTATTTTTGCCAAGAAGAAGATAAACTCCATATAGAGTGTCTTCGATGCCCATCCTCCTCTCTGAAGTAAATCAGTGCTGCCAGGAACAGACATGTCTCACTGTCCAGAAAGTTTAAAATTTTAAAACATTTTAAATGCCATATTTTGTAGGTCTTTGAAGTGTTTGAAGATTACCTACCTAATTGAATTATATCTATGTATACCTAGAAAACTTAACATGACTAAAAGTTTGACTATCATAGAAGACTAATTATTAATCTGTGTTTTTTAATTATCCATTACAATTTTAAATGAGTTGCACAATCATAATACCTTAAATAAGAGTAGAAATATACATACAGTATAACAAAATTGACTTTAAATTTGTAATAAACTAAAATCTATAGCAATTTAAAACATTTACACAAATTGTTGCTCTATAATAGTAGATTTATTAATCTACCCTTTTAACCTATCTATACTATCCCCCTTTCTTCTTTAGAAAGAGATCGAATTTATAATCAACCTTTTCTTTTAGCAATATGCTTGGATTTAGAGAAGGAGTGAGCCAATTCCATCTCCAAAGCCAGCTTGGTATATTTGGGAATTTGGGTGTAGCTTCTCATACTACTTCCTGCTGAATGAAGGTGCTGTATTCTTATGGGGACATAAAGAAAATTTA